AGATTGTTAAGCATTCATTAAACTCCTGGAGTCCATCTAAGCATGCACAGATCACAAGTTTAAGGGAAAGAGAAGAACAGAGACTTGCCTTTGAGACTTTGGATTAAAATCTCTAACTGTCGTTTCTAGATTTTATCCAAATCCTTCACCGATCACTCCCTCTGTTTCTCCTTGGTTCCACACACGTACAACCCCTTCAATCATTCCTTGGTTCAACCATAGCCTAAGGCAAAACCCTAGACTTCCTCTCTGTATCTCTCTCTGTATTCCTCTCTGTAACTCTCTATTTTTCCTACTACGTGAAATAAAGGTTCTGTCTTTTAAACCCTAAGTTGACATATCATATAGTATTTATAGACTTCAAATATCACCAAAACCTAATTCCTATACTAACCATAAGTCGGTTACAGTGCGAGACATAAAACCTTAACTTACACAACGTAAAACAAATAAACTGTGGACACAAAACAATTCAATAATTAACTTAATTAAATAATTACCAATTTATCAAATAATATAATTAACCAATATAATTTAACGAAATCGTTAAAACAAACCATTTAATTAACACCAGTAATTCAAAAGTCACAATCACAATTAAGTCAATTAATTCACATAATCACAATTTAATTCAAGTATTTCGCATAATCACAATATAATTCAAGTAATTCACATAATCACAACATAATTCAAATAAGTCAAATAATAACAATTAATTCACACAAACAAGTAACTAAACAATTAAAATTCCAATTAAACAATTAATGAAATATCAGGACTATCCTTTATAAAATTAGGGGTATTACAATTAATAAAATTATTGAAGGGCAATATTGACATTTCATAATTTTAAAAGCTTGTTTGGATTTAATTTTGGGGTTAGATCCATCTACACCCCCTGACATTTGACAATATTTTATTTACACCCCCTCTAAGTTTTAATATTCTACTTACCTCCCCTGTGTAACTGCTGTCTATCTTACTAACGTAAAGGTGTGATATTATAGTTTTGCCCATCAATTGTATATGAATATTTTTATACATAAATTGTATATGAAATTAAAAGACCAAAATGTCCTTTAATATTGTTCCAAATCTCTAAGGGTCAGTTTGGTAGAGTAGAAAAGGGAGGAAAGGGAAGGGAAGGTGATGAAGGGGGATTAAAAATGTGTGTTTGGCAAAAATTGTTGGAAGGAAAGGGAAGTGAAGGGAAGGGTTTGGAGGGTTAGCTTGTGCCTTCAACAGTAGATTTCTTAACCTCCCAAAAATGGGAGGAAATGAAGGGAAAGGGAAGGAGAGGCTTGATGGGTGATTTCAGATGCCAATTTTACCCTCAAGATTGCATAGAGAGAGAGAGACCGTCGGTGATTGAAGCTTGGAACGGCGACTCGAACTGGAACAGCAGCCATGGAAACTGAAGGATATGGGTTTTGGATTTTCTGAACAATCTGAAATGATACATCGATACGGGACTTTTGATTCTTGCAAACAGATAGATAAACTGGAAATATATGGGTTTTGAATTTCTGATTCTTGTAGAGAGAGAGAGAGAGAGAGAGAGAGAGGCCAAGTTCAGTGTTGAGAAGGAGTTGCAGAGATGGAGCGAGATTGGGGAGGCTTTGCCCTATTTTTTTATTTTTCTTTTCTTATGGCCTCAAGTTAAAGACTTTATATATATATATATATATATATATATATATATATATATATATAATAGAGATGGAGGATTAGGGAGGCTGAAATGATTTGCCCTAATTTTTATTTATTTATTTATTTATTATTATTATTATTTTTTGGCAAGTACATGAAACTATATATATATATATATATATATATAATATATATAAATATAAAGGGGTATAATAGTCCATATGTTAAAATAATTCCCTTCTATTTCTTTTCCTTTCTTTTCCCAAACATAATTATTGTCCTTCCCTTTCTTTTCCTTCATTAATCAACCAAACGCAATGGAGGTTTAAAATTATCATTCCTTTTCCTTCCCTTCCCTTCCATTTCCCTCGTAACTAATGTCATCCTTCCCCTTCAAACCCACCGTACCAAACAAAGCCTAAGAGATCACCCCATCTTGCTTCACTGCCAGTTCCCGTCGTCCATAATTGTCGTTAGCCAATCCCGCCGGTAAGACATCTTGCTGATCGTTGTTCATCTCGCCGGGAAAGCCAGACCCGCTTCACCGCCGTTCAGTCACACCATTCTGACGTCGGAACTGCGGTTCATCCTGGCTTTACCGCCGGTACAGTCATGTTGTCGTTCATCACGCCCATCTTGCCGTGCTTCATTCTTGCCCGATGATTGTTTAAGACTAATAAACTAAAAAGCACCTGATTCAGTCACCCACCAAAGTCAAACCCATTGTCAATGGTGACTGACACGTGGAGGACGCTGCACAGAACTTCAACATCTATGTACGCCTACAGTGCATAGAACCTCAGGTGACTGATTTCCGGTGAATTTTAGACGATCAAACGTATGCACCACTTCCTGTGAATTTCCGATGTATTCTCTCTCCCTTCTCTTCTTCCACTCTCTCTTCTCTCCACTTCCTCTCACCATCGCCTACTCTAGCGACTGCCATCTCCACCCACAGTTGCTACCACCACCATACCATCTCTCTCTCCTCTCCTCACTCTTAATTCTTAACACCAAATCATATATACATTATTATTATTATTATATATATATATAATACCCAAAATATAATTCTTTCTACTGGGTCAAAACGTATTTTGGGATTGTTAATAAGCACATTCCTTTCTCCTCTTCACCTACTCCCACCGTCACCTTCTCCAACCGCCGCCATCTCCACCCATCGCCGTCACCACCATACCTCTCTGCTCTCCTCTCATCTCTCAACAACAAATCACATATACATTTATATATACATATAAATATATAATAACAAAAACAGAATTTCTCTCTCTTCTTGGTAGAAGCCCATTTTGGGTCTGTTCATGGGCACCTGCCATTGGAGGGGGCAACAACCACCTTGGACAATTTGCAAGGGCCAAATTAGATTTCATAATTGATTGAGTAGTGGGGTTAGGCTTACTGGTGATGGATTTAACTTTCACAATTGATTCACACCACCTCTTTAAATATATATATATATAAACACGCTTACACATATACATATATGGGTCTCTCATTCTCCTCCTCAAAGATTTGAACTTGGCTATGGTTCTTCTTTAGTAAGTAAAGGATTTGATAAAAGATAAAATACCGAGCAAATATTAGAGGAGGGAGAGAGGACCCAGTTCTAAAAAAAAAAAAGAAAAAAACAGGCTGTGACACATATAATCTATAATCTATATATACACAGACACACATATATACATTACATATATACACACACACACACACACAACAACAACAACAACTCACCCTCTGACCCACTTCCTTTCCGGCCATCATCCACCACCGGAATCACTCCAGCACCGACCCACCCTAACAATCTCTATGCATATTTAAATGAAGGACATTGTTGTACTTTTAAGTTAATAAATTAAGGATAGTTTTGTAATTTTGCATTGGTCAATAAGGTTAAAGATGTCATGCAATAGAAGGGTAAAATTGGCCTTCCACCGATTTTTTCTTGTCGACGTCAACACACACCATCAGTTGCTTAACGGTAGGGGTAATTGTAATTTGTTACACAAATCAAAACCTCGGGGAGGTAGGTGAAATATTGAAATATAAAGAAGGTGTAAGTAAAATATTATCAAACGTCAGTGGGTGGGTGTAGGTAAAATTTATCCTTTATTTTTTGATAAGGAGGTGTTTTTGTCAACAAAAAAAATATATATATATATATATATATTAATATACTTTACCCATATTTTTATTTAAAGAATTTGACACACCGCCTAACATATTTGAATTGTCTCATACATGAATTTCACCATTGAATTTCTTTCTTGTTTAAATTTTAAAGCGGCAGTGTTTATCCTAAACATCAACTCACGCATGGTTGTCACGTGTGTCTACAAGTCAGGTCTTACCCTCGATATCCAAATTACCAGGTCATATTCTCAAGTATGCAAGCCTTAAGGATTAACCCTCAGATCTCATCGGAGTAGTTAAAAAAATAATTTATGTTTCTTTATTTTTTATTTTTTATTTTTTATTTTTATCATTTGAAAGGGACAAATGCCAAATCAAAGTGACAGTATAGAGGCATAAGTCAAGCCAGATAAAGACATACAAATCATGAAGCAAAGCAATAAAAATAAAGATAGACTCCAGATTTGTTGAGAAAGAGTCACCACTCTAGAATAGAAATCACCAAGGGAGAAGAGCAACAACTGCAGTGACCAAAGATCAGACCATCATCAAGGCAACAACTCTAAAACTGCAATCACAAGGCGCCTCTACACACCTAACCCCGCAAGATCAAATCAAGCCGGGAAAAACAAAAATTGACCCAGATCATAGATCTAGTCGAAAGGAAAACAACAGATCCACTTTGTCGAGTCAGAAACAAACCAAACAAGAGCACATATGGAGGAGGCAAGCAAGATTTGATTCATAATTCTTTTCACACCAACAAATTTGTGAACAGTGTTATATATATGTATAAAATATTATAAACGTACACTTATATATATATATATATATATACACACACACAAGTTACAAGTTGTAGTGAACGCAATATTAAAGTGAAGATTCTTGCAATATCTTAATGAGATAAAGCTAAAAAGAGTTTAGAAGCAGACAATATATACCTCCTATTAATATATAGTTTACAAAAACATATGGGAGCCATGAGTTGGGAGTGTGGTTCCCATGTGACATGGCGAGCAAAGCCTACCTTCCGCTTGTGCTTGCCATGCACACCACACGCACTTCAATATGCCCGACCTCTTCAAAATTGTACCTCTGTGTATTCCAATAAAATGAGAAACCTAATTACCACGTCAATCATTGAAACAACCATATATATATATATATGTATTATTGATAGTCATTTCAAACACTTCTCTTTGTTTGTTAATGGAAAGCATTTTAAACACAATCAGAGACATAAACATCAACTCATGATGAAAGGAACTATTACATTTGATAAATATATTGTCATTTTCACACTTTGATTTAAATTCCCAAAAGAGGAGTCATTTTTTTTTTTTTTTTAATATCTTATCCTAGTTATATCAATTAAATAAATGGTGAGGTATAGTTGATGGGAGTTTCTATTTATATATATATGTATATATATATATGATGATCATATCAAAGTTGTATAAGGTGGTTCAAGTCATAGTCCTCCAAACTAAGTAAGTAATCATGTTATCTTTATCCCCTCCTTTGTTTTCACCCTTTGGATGGGCATTAGAGGACAACTACAACAACCATAGAGAAGCAGAAACTACTTGTGAATCATTTCTTCATTTTCCTTCAATTCAGAACAACAACATTGGGTCCGGCGAATCTCCAATTTTTGGTGCAAGCGGTGAAGATGCAGCAGCCACTATGGTTAAAAAAATAAACCATAATGCTAGTGAGCGCGATCGTCGTAAGAAGATTAACAATTTGTATTCCTCTCTCCGTTTACTGCTTCCACCACCTGATCAAACGGTATGCGCGCAGTTCTCTTTCTCTGCTGCATTTTTTAAGAATCAATTTCAACCAACAATTAATGACTTTACATTTATGAACGTTGTTACAGAAGAAATTAAGCATTCCGGCAACAGTGTCACGGATGCTAAAATACATACCAGAGCTACAGAAGGAATTGCAAAGATTGGTTCAAAAGAAGGAAGATCTTTCATCAAGGATTATTTCTAGTTGTAGGCAATTAGGAGAAAATCAAAGTCATCCACAAGCTTTGACTAAGAGCTCTTCTTCATCTGTTGTTTCAGCAAGTCAACTGGGTGATACAGAAGTTGTAATTCAGATATCAACAACAACAACAGTTAAGACTAATAGTAATACTCCTTCATTTTCTGAGGTCTTACTAAATTTAGAGCAAAATGGACTTCTTTTGTTGGATGCTTCTGTTTTTCAATCCTTTGGAGACACCAGGATCTTCTATAATCTGCACCTTCAGGTATTCTATATATTCTGCTTTTAAATTCTCACTGCTATATATATCTATATATATTAATAGTTACAAATTTTAATTGCATACTAGTAAAGTTTATACACTAATGGCTATTTTCAGGTTTTTTTTTATTTTTTCGGTGTTCATCAAAGGTCCAAGCCGAAGTTAAGGTTGAGTTTATCGTCGTGGCTTGATGAATTAATTATTTTTATTAAATTTTAATATATATATTTTTTCATAAATATTTTACGATAACCAAACATTGAAAAAATAAAAATTTATAGTCTCTTAGACTACCACCCCATGATCACTTTGTAAAATAATGTTCTAATTCTTTATTTTTCTTGGTTATTGTGGGATTTAGATTCAACAGGTGCAAGGAACTCCAAAGATGGAGCTTGAAATGTTGAGACGAAAGTTACTCTCTTTCTATGAGAAGAGAGACTAATTGTTACCATGACTTTTTGGCTTTATATAATTTAACAGGAGGTGGTTGTAATTTTTGTAAACAAACAACTTGTACAAAGGTTCAATATATATATATATATATATATTGATAGAAACTAAATTGTGATTGTTACTTTTGTCATCAAATAACCTGTACAAAGGTTCAATATTGCGGAAATATTTTTCATGATATACTGTCTTAAATTTTTTAATGACTTCACATAATTTCATCCTATGCATGGACAATATGAATTGAAAAGATATGCTTACTAAAGTTGCGTATCGCCAACTTTATATGATTTTAAAACATTTAAGGCAATAGTTTATGAACTAAGAGATGGGTTAGAATTTATTCTTCTCAAATTTGGTTCCAAACATATCATTTCTTTTATACTGTGGTGTCACTCCTCATGGTGAGTATTGATTTAATTGGGAATAAGTGCAGAAAACATATTACGCATAATACTTTTATTCTATATTTAAAAAAGTATATAAAAAATATCCCAAATCTTTTATATTGTACAAAAATATTCCTTTGACATAAATTAGTGATGTAATATCCGTTTTACCCTTTCACTCTTCCGAAAATACCCAAAGGAATATATATGCTGTTAATTTCATAGAATATGGGTATTATGTACACATTGCCTGATATATATATATATAAAACCTTTTTCTCTATATATATCTCTAAACATTTTTTTTTTTTTTTTTTACTTTGAGAATTTGTAGTATAAGGATTTTAATTTTTTGATATTTCAATTTACTCTTTTCTACTAATTTTTTTTTTCTTTATTTATTTATTTTTTCCTTACCAACACTTTAAAAAAAAAAAAAAATTCCAATATCAGTGTCCTGGTTTTCGGAGTTTGGAGCAGATTTGTTTTCTTTAGTTTGCACTTTATTTTCGTTTTTTATTTTCTTTTTTTATCTTTACTTTTCTTTTATACTTTTATTTTTATTTCATATTTTTATCTTTACTTATCCATTGCCAGCGTTCTCCAATAGTGTCATTTTCAGTCCATTTATAAATTTATTTCTTTTTTTATATTTTATAAAATGGTTCAATAAGGATAATTTTAGTCAACTTAAAGTTTAAATTCGTTAGAGAAACCTATTTGCACCAAATTGAAGCTTTAGGAGTGTTTTTTTTGCACGCAAGGGACATACTCCAATAGTGTCCTCAATCATTTTACAAATTATTTATTTTTATATATTTTATAAAATAGTTCAGTAAAAGTAATTTAGTCAACTTAGAATTTAAATTTGTCAGATGGGTCTATTTGCACCAAATTAAAACTTTAGGGATTTTTTCAGTACGTGGGTGGTGTGATATGCACTGTAAACATACTTTAAAGGTGTTTTCTACTGTTAACTCTTTTAATTGTAACATCATAATCTAATCTTATGACTAATTTAAAAAATAGTTAATTTAAGAAACTCACCTAAGGCTGATTGAAAGAATGGTTAATTTAGGAAACTCGTTTTTAAAATTTACCATTCATTACAATTGAGGTAAAATGACTCTAATAATTAATTTTTTAAAAGGAAAAAAAATCCGTAATATTAACCGTGAATTGAAATTGAGAAAAAATAAAGCTCCATAAATCCTTATGCTGCAACTGCAAACCAAAATCTTAAAGGTAGAGACGAAAAAAAAAAAATCATTTTGAGTTAGAATCAAATAATATTCTCTCTCTAAATGTAAAAGCATGTTGCAATAGTTTAGATGCATAATGATTTTTAATAGCAAGAAAAATCAGCACCACATAAGATTAGATTCGAAGACCATAATTAAAAGCCCTACTCAGAAAGCATTTGAACACCGATTTATATATATATATAGTTTCGGTTGTTACACTCTCTGCTAAGGTTGGAGAGACAAGGCAATATTTTATTTGAGCCTTGTGACATTAGATTTTGTTTGATATGGTGGGCCTAAATAAAAAAGGCTTGAATAAAAATGGGCCTAATGTAAAAAGCCTTACAATAAATGAAGCATATGATAGGTCCACACGTGTCTTGGACAACAATGAAGGCCTCCAGATTTGATGAGGCTACACCAATGTGGCCAACGTAAAGGCTTTGAAGCAGATAAATTTTGTAATATGCTATGCAATTACAAAATTTTGTTTTCTTCTTTAATTTAATAATATGCTATGCAATTATTAAGAAACCAAAAGTAGAATTTTGAAAACCCCAACATTGGTGACATATTAGATTCAACAACTAGGCAGTGCCTTAGATTAGAAAGCATCTTCATTATCAAAATTCAGATATTTTTGTAGGAGATCCAAGGAAACTAAATTAACATGAAGGCTCCGTTTATTTTGACGTAAAATATATATTTTTCAGATAAAATATATTTTTATTTTTATTTTTACTTTTTCAGTGTTTGGTAAAGGTCTATGTTGAGGTTGAGGTTAAGGTCAAGTCCATCGGGTAGAACATGTAAAATTACTTGTCGAAAATATTTTTTTATTTTTATTTTTACTTTTTCAGTGTTTGATAAAGGTCTATGTTGAAGTTGACGGTCAAGTCCATTGGGTATGACATATAAAATAACTTGTCGAAAATTTATGAATAAGTTATTTTTATTAAATTTTAATATATTTTTTTTTCGTAAATATTTTACGACAACCAAATACCAAAAAATAAAAAAATATTTTCTGAAAAATATTTTACATCCAAACAAACGGAGCCGAAAACAAATTGATTCTCGTAACTCTCTTTTTCTTTTCCCTCCGCTCTATCTATTTATTCACCCGACCCAACTAAAATAATTATTGAAAGTTATCTTAATCTTAGTCTAATTTCACCACGAACAAAAATTTTAAAATATCCGGCAGCTTTCCTATAACATTGAAAAGCAAGAAAATTGATTAGAAAGTATAAAATACCCTGGAGTATTTGTGATATCTTTAACCAATGCACAATCATTTTATTTTATTTTTTGTCTGAAATTTTTTTCCTTTTTCCATGTATTAAGATAAATTGAGAGTTTTCATTTATGTGCACTGGTTGGAGGTAAGACATGTAAATACTCCTGAAATATTGTTTACTTTCTCCAGAATGATAAAAAAAAGTTGACTGTAAAATGGTTTTATCATAACAAAACTGTTTGATCTATTTTGGGAGTGCATCAAAGTCTTAAAAATTGCATGAAAAATGGTGTCAATCCTGCCATTTAAGATTTTGGAGGTCCAAATGCTCCATAAATTTCGACAGTATATTCTAAGTCACAAAACTTGCTAAAGTTGATTTCCATTAATATTTTTCCTAATCATGAAGTAAAATATATTAATTGATGTTTACAACAAATTTCCTTTAAGACTATCCATTTAAATTAAAATAATATTCATCCGTTAGAAGTGAAATAATAATTAATTATGATAAACCGTCCAACATTGCATGTATAAAAAAGAACACTGCTATTTCACCCGACTTAAAATAACCTACTTTGTATCGCCTCTTCTTAATGTCTAAGAGCATCCCCAATAGACTCTCTAAAATTAGGTTCTCCGAATTTGCCACATCAGCATTTTTCAATAGCCACATAAGCATTTTCCATAGTCACGTCAGCATTTTAGAGTCTCCAAATTTTAGCTATCGCATGTAATCCAATTGTGCATTTTCGCTCTCCAAAAATATTAATATTTTAATATTTTTAAATTTTAAAATATAATTATTTTTTAAAAAAAAAATTAAAAAAATGGGTTTTTGTACCAATATAGCCATTAAGACATTATTTAGGTCAGCCAAAGAATGCCTAAAATGGCTATATGTCGGTAGGAATATTTTAAAAAGTAAATTTTTAAAAAAAAAAACACTTTTCTCTATTTTTTTTAAACTTTTTTTTGTCCAGAAAAGCCTTTAAGGTACTGTTTGGGTCAGCAAATAGTGCATTAACGACTCTTTGGTTCAATTATTTTGAGGGGGAAAAAAAAAAAAAAAAAAGAGACAAAAAGAAGCCAAAAATCTGTTTTTTTTTTTTTTTTTTTTTTTTTTTTTTCAGGCAAACATGCAAAGAACAGTATTCTGGGCTAAAACACTGTTTGGGCCAGAATTAAAAAAATAAAAGAAAATTGATGCGGGCCTGCATGGCAGGCCCGCGAATCGCCAAAGGGATCGCTGCTTTCAGCGATCTATTCCTCGACCCAATCGGTTGGGCCCAATTCCTAGCGAGTCCATTGGAGGAGTCCAATTATGAAATTTGGCCCAAAATTGCTGGATTTTGGACCATTGGACTTGCTCTAAGTGTCATGTTATAACTAGTGGAGCCCTTTATAGAAACAAACAAGTCTCTCTCCTCTTAGCCCATGCCCCCAATGCTCTCCAAATCACAGACACCACTCAAGCGGTGGAGCTCCACTGTTTCCTCTGTGTCTTCCCAAATCATGTCCCCTAGAACACTACTCACTTTCCTCGGCTCTGGCCTAATATCGATTATGGTATTGTTCGAATTTTGGACACCTAAATCCTGCTGGAACAACCAAGCTTCTTTGACTATGGCCTTGATCTCTCCGATTGGAAAGGCACCTGTGAAAAAGTATGCCGAATTTTCTTTCTTGGGTATGTAATTGAAAAATCATCGGTTGCGAAGTAGGACTTTGGAAGGCTCATGGATGAAAACGAATCTCAAAATCTCTGAGAATAAGGTCATGAATTGCATACACCTTTATGCAGTTCCTTAAGTCTTCTCATCCCCTCTCTCTCTATATTCAAATGTTTACTTATAAATATATATATTAATTCTCAATTATTGTTCTTGATATAAAAAAAAAAAAAATTGCAGATGAAGAGAATTAAGAAACGAAATAGATATGCAAACCCAATTTTTTTTTTCCTTAATCTTTTTCTTTCTTGGGTTGAAAACCATAATTGAAGATTATAGAGAAAGACAAAAATTTTCCTGCAATAAGGTCTTTTGATGACAAAAATTTCCTTGCAATAAGGTCTTTTTAATGAAAAAGATATTTTATAAAGAGAAGGAATTTTAAGCAAAAATATATATATATATGAGTAACTCGTACATAGAGAAAATATATAACAGAAAGAACACAAGGAAAAGATATAGGAAAAGAACTTCAAAGGAAACGAAAGGGAAAGAGGTAATCTTGTCTGAAAAAATCAATTGCATTTAAATATGTGAGACTTGGTACTGAAATTAGTGTATTATTGAGACATAAAAATTAATTTTTATCGGTACA